AAATAAGACATTCCTGTTCTGATTCATATTTTGCAAAAACTTTAACCTAATCCTAAATAATTCGCATTGTTCTCGCACTGGAAACACAGCAAATCTAATTTTTTTTTTCAAACATCTGTTAGCATGTGGATGAGAAAAGCCCAAAATAAGACGAACTGAGGAATAGCCAGTTGCATCACTGGCAAGACAGAATACGGCAATTAAACAACAGCTGGTCGAAGTATCAATGTAAGAATCTCGGGAATCCTCCTTTTCCTCAATACAACGGCTAAAAGTCAAGCTTAAAAAATTGTTACCAGCACCAAACATTCCACCCATATATGAATATCTTTCATCAAAACCCTTTTGCACAATGGAATGTATAAATGGCGAGCCGTGATAAAGAAGCTTTTCGTTGTGTTCACCACAATTCTCTTCCGCAATGTCCTCACGACGTCGTATATACCTTAAATAAAAGTCGTAAAAACTTTGATACATTTTTCAATTAAATGATAATTTCACCATCAACGTCATCAAGGCCACTTGTGCCAACACAGAGCCTATTACTAAAGCATCGCTGCGGAAGTCCCGCGGAAAGCCCTCAGAATTGCTATTGGTTCGCATATAAGGGCAGTTACTAAACCTCGGCCTAACTCGGCTCAGTCGGCGCCATACATGACTCGCGAAAATTCTGGCAGTAGCGGGTAATCCTGCCCACGGCAACTGGCGGCAGTTCGAATGTGAAAAGTGGCAGGGGAGGGAGTTCGCTGCGGGTTTCGTTCAAGGCAGGAGAAGAAGGTATCTACGCCTGCTTTCTTTCGTCTCCTGTTCCTTTCTGTCTTTTACACACTTTATCTCTTTCGATAATACAAAAATAAGATAATCGGGTGTTAAAACCATTCTTCTACGTTCGATTTCAGTGAGAGATGGGGACAATCAGTAGTCCTAGTGAAGAACAGTTCAAGCCAAGCAATGTTTACCTTTCATAAACTTTTCTATTAATAATGTTTTGTATTTCGACCACTTCAAATCGGGTATATGTTCCACCAACATTGGCATCACGATGCGGTACAATCGATGAATTCAGTGCTTCCTCGATTTGTCGAAATTGTTCATGTGAATTTTCAATCTGAACCAGTACCGTACCCTGCGATACCATCGATGCACTGAGATCATTTGCCGGAACACTAGTTTCTTTGACTAGAAAAAAAAAACAGCAGGTAAAATGAAGATTCATAAACTAAGTGTTGTAGAAATTATAGAGATATAAATAATGAACATTCCTGCCTAGAAGACTTGAAGAGGATGGGGGCCTAAAATCTTCTATGTGTTAACATATACAGTTTGTTTGACT